GCTGCTGGCACAATCCAGCACGGGATGATCCACCGAGGAACACCCTGGAACCCTCCAGCATCAGCCTATAGTAGCTGATAGGGGGTTTTGTCCCATACGTGTAATCCTTTTGCCTCCTGCGTTCGCTGTCTTTGATGGAGAACGGTTTCAGATGTTCCCCTCTGCTTTAAGAAACCCGAATGCTGAAACAAGCCCGTACTACAGCCATCTAGCCTAATCAATCAAACTTAAAAGCCTAAGATCGATGTAGAAGATAATGTGCGGCTGGGAGAAAAAAAGGGAGATGCTACAGATACTGTGCTGCTGTGAAAGGGGTTTTTACGTTTAGGTAGTGACTAACTCAGTTTTCTGTCTCGTGTTATGCACTTGGCAGAAAGAACCCTTATAAAAAGGCTTTTTAGAAAGATTTAAAACACCAGGCTAACTAAGTGGAGCTCTGTCTTGGATTTTGTGCATAACTGCAGCCTGACTTTGAAACAGGTTGTTTTAATGATGAGTTTGTCCAGTCCTTAAGCAGAACAGTGAGTAGTAGATCGATCCGTTTGCATAGTCTGTGTGACATCACTTGCTGTGGTCTGTTCACTGTAAGGTGTGTTACGTCTTCTCTTTTTCTTTGAGCCCTGGTGGGAACAAGCAGTGGGCAGTGTAAGTGAGAAGGGAGAATGCTTGAAATTCTGTCCTTTGGAAGTCTGTGGTGGGGGCCAGCATGTACTGTTGAGCTTTGGTCCTTCATGTGTTGACATTGACAACCAGCAGTCAAAAAATCAGATGGTAGTAGGGTGTGTGATCACTTGAGGAAACACAGAGGAATAGTATCATGTTTTTAGTCTTGCAGGTGATGTGAGCAATAGTACTCGCATGGAAAAGATGGGCAAGAAGCTATTACAACTTACTGCTGAATATCTTCAAATAAAGTGTTCTGGCACTAGTACAGAATTAGGCTTGATGGGACAAGAGCAGTTTCATTAAGACATCTACAAGTCGTATGAACATAGAATTAAAGGGGGCGGCAAAAAATCTGTTTTACTGGAATTTTCCTTTCATTGTCCTTGACAATTCTGTGTTACATCTTAGGTAGAAATTTCTCACTTTAAAATGGCGAAGTTGCTCCTCTTAAATACGGGAGCATTACATTTCTAGGCAAATAGTTATGTAAAAGTTCAGGCAGTAGAAATGAGTCATTGGGGTTTTACTTCCATCTTGTAAAGCTGGTAGAAAAGCAAGTAAGTTAAACTGTGAGATTTAGGCTGAGTCCTCTACTTGCCCGATTATGCCTCCTAAAGTCTAGGAGGATGAGGACTTATTTTTGCTTAGGGGAAGCTTTTTATATGTATTGTGATGGCAGGAATATTACTTGAACCCTGGGTAAGAGAGGATCTAATCTTGTGTTAGGACGGGTTTTTGGGTGGTAGAAAAGGAAGAGCATTTCTTTTGGGGGAAATGCAACACTGTATAGAGCTAACATTCATTAAGGTGGGGAATAATTCCTGAATCTGAAGTACTGGAAGGAACTGCTTTCTAAATTTCCTTTTATAATTATGGAGCTGCATTGTTTTGCTATTAACATTAATCTTGACCCTGAAGTGAGGGAGGCTAACCATGGCAAAGCTGTAAAATGTTTACAGTTTTGTAGGTGGGACCTCTGTGAAGTTGGGGTTCTTCCCTTGTAATTACATTGTTTGAGATGGAGCTCTCAGAAAATGGTGAGGGTTTTTCCCTGTGCCTCTCTGTTACCTGTAGAAGTAGCTGGGTTTTGATGACATATTTCAGGCAGTGAGCTGTTCCTACAGTTGGTGATTCAAGGATTCTGTGGCTCTCTCAGGTTGCGAGTGTGTTCGGTGATGGACGGGCACATCCTCCACGGGGATGTGTGAAATGGGGCCTGACTCTTGTCCTGGCTCTCTGCTAAGCCCTTGTTTCTTCCACTTACATTAAATTTTAATCCTGTCCCAGTGCTGTTGTCAGGTAAACTAGAGGCTGGGAGTGGTATTCTGGTATAATAGTTCTCGGAATAGAAAATTCAGGAGCCTGCTTGTTTGAATACACTCCCTCTATCTTTCAACACCACCATCAAGCCTTTCATATGAGAAACTCGTATTCTTTGCTGATGGGAGAGATCACAGTGGAAGCCTTATGAATTCCCAGGCTGTCATACTTTCTGAGATGCAGACCAAGAGTATTTGCCAGGAGCTTCAGGACTTGTTTTCTGGTGAGGAAGACCAATGATCTGTGGATGTAACGTACAGGTTGTGGCTTGATGCTAGACAAAATCACACAAGAATGTATCGGTTGGGTTTTGCTCGGGCTTAAAATGGTCTAAGAAAGTTAAATTCCATTATGTGAGTGTGCCTGTCTCAGCAAGGTTCTGAGTAGAAATCAGATGGATTTCATCCCAAAATCTGATAGTCTCACAGCAGAGGAACTTGACTTTGATATATCCCAGATATAATTTGAAATAATGGATTTTCATGGAACTAAATCAAGCAAGACCAAGATTTTCCACATCTTTTCAGGGTAACAATCACTCCAAAAAGCAGCGTAGAGTTGTCGAAAATGCTTTGTGCTCAGTTTCAGTCTTTTTCTGTTTATAGAACAAATATGCAAATTCAGACCACAAATGGCTGTATGAAAGAAGAGGTTTCTTAGATCATCTTGTAAAGTACTTTATTACTGGGGCTCTTTGTACTATATTGAACTGATGAATTTAAGATAACCAGGGAGGTGTTGTTTGGATTAGCAGCTTCAGTCATAGCTCACTATCTCAGCCTGATTTCCTTTTTTGCTGTTCATGTGCTGCTGGTGTTACAGATGTACTCACAGAATTGTAAACGTCTGAACTGGCTGTCTGACAATGCTCTCCTGGGCAGTTTACAGCTCTGAGGGGAAAACCCAGTTAATAATAGGGGACTTACCTATTTTCTTCCCCACCTAAATAAATCACCTTTTTTTGTGTGTAGGTGGAGAGCAGTCCATGCTGCAGGCAGATGTAGTCACGGGCCGTGACTGCGGCATGCAGACATCAAAAAAACCCATGATGGAACAAAATGATCTGTCAAGGTTAGATTTGAATGGAAAGGCTCCCAGGTAGTTACATTAAGCTAAGAAATGCCTCTACTCCCTCCTCCTTGTCTGAAAGCAAGAAGGGCACAAAAAGCAGCACTTTTAATATGGAGCTGTAAATAGTAAAAATAATTGTTGGGACAAAACATAGTTATCAGCATTGAAAACATGAGTTATTTGCATATCAGGAGGTTTGCAATGTAAAATGGAGTTGAGTCTCTGCTTTCCGTGCCTGAAAGATGGCATCTGTTCTCACAGCAGCGTTCCGCCCTGAGGAGGGAGGGATCCCTTTGGTATTGGAGGGGGGGAAGTGGTAATTTTAGCAGGCGATAAATTGCCCGTGTAAATGTCAACAGAGGGGGAACTGAGGAATTGCCGCCGTGGTGCTGTAATTTACACAATTGGTTTGCACGAGTGGTTGTGTCCACAGCATTGGCAGGCCTGAGGTTTAACGGGAAAATTGAGGGCTCAGGAGCCAGCTGGTACCTGAGGTTAGAATTTTGCCGAGTCCCTAATGAGTGCCAGGATGATTTCCGCAGCCCTTCCCTCGTCAGGGCCGCTTTGGCTCTGCCCGGGTGCGGCAATGCTGCAAGGAGGAAAGGTTGCAGCTCCCAGGGGACTGGGCTGAGGCTGGAAATGCCAGCTTTAATTGCATTTCGGTGCTAGTGGCTGCGATAGTGGCTACAGCAGGGAAAGTTGCTACAGAGCGTTTGATAGCAGTAGCTGGAAGCACTAGAGGCAGCATGTTCAGCTGTAATATCAAGCCACCGTAGGGTTATTTGAGGACACTGCTCCAGGATTAACTCTTAAATTGCCTACTCTGATCTCTCAGTGGCAACACTCGTATGTTTTGCTTGTATGTTTGGGCGGTTTGGTATTTGATTACTCAATTCGGGAGTTAACATCGACAGGAAAAACCAAATGAAACGTAGACCCTGTAATTTATAAGCTATATAAAGTTGAAGCTCTTCCTTTAGAGCTACTACACTGCCTTAAGTGTAGGTTCTGGCTCAGCCAACCTCCTCTGCAGGCACACTGCTGCGGAAACTCAGCATGACCACGCACTCGGGATTAGAAGAGCAGGCTAAAAAGTGATAAATGCCCATTATAATTAACTTCCTGTAGCTCTCCTGAAGGTGACATTCAAGGGCGTATTTTAAGAACCGCTCTATTTAATTGTGTATTCAATCCAAAACCGAAACAGCTTCTCTGTGGGATGTTCATAATGCACTCGAGCTCTGCGAATCCTGCATGACTCAAAATTGCTTGGTGTCATGTCGATTTATCCCAGATCAGAAGCTGCAGACATGAAGCACGGTGCATAAAAACATGAAGCAGCCCTTGTCAGCCGTGAATTTGTCTCCTTTAGGATCTGAGAGGTTCCCTTTTGTTTTCCAAAGGTCTGTATTTGAAGCGAATGGCGGATTTGTTGTGAATTTGATAATGTGAGAAACGAAAATGTGCTTCCTGAGTTTGGGGGATGGTTGTTGCTTAAAATTTGTCTCAGGACATTTGCATTCCAGTGTGATTCTTGCACACTGATGGCAGATGCTCTGTTAATGAGGGTATATGGGATGGGAGGAAGAGGGAAGAATGTGGCGAAAATCCATGTTATATGTTGCCTAGCAGACGATCTCAGGTTATTAAGTTTACCAAAGACATGAATATGGACCATTACAGGTTGTATTTCCTTTTTGAGAAATATGAAGTATTTCTCAAATATGCCGAATTGGGTTTTTTTGGGGGGGAAAGTTATTTGTATTGAACTTTTAACAAAGTAAACTGAGGCAGTTTTTGAACAAAGTATTGAAACAGGCTTTCAGGTGCAGCTTTTCTCAGAAACATCCCATCCACTTTCTTGCTTAATTGCCATGTAATTAAGGCAGATGCAAATGAACTGTGTAGGGTGGGGTATCCCCTGGTCCAAGTTGAGCTAATCCTGCAGTGGCTGGAAGTTGGACCTTCCTGTTCCTACCCAGGTGCACTGGCATGATGGAAGCCTGACAACCAGCTCAGGGAATTTTCCTTGAAAAGTAAAGCAACCAGAAGGGAAGTTTTTTGTATCCTTCAGCTGGTCAGCTCTGCAAGTGCAGCCCTGACAGAGAGAATGGGGCAGGAGCAGGGGCTGTTTGGGGCAGGGTGGAGTAGGTTCTTTGTGGCCAAGCAGACTTTTCTTCTGTCAGACGTGTTATGAAATCACATCTGTAAATGTTTTCCTCTGCCAGCCCAGATAAGCTTTTTTGTAAACTTTCCACAACGGGCCTTCTGAACTGGAGTTGTTCTCCTGGTGGAAAAAGATGGCCTTGTGCAGGTGCTGAAACGTGCGTGAGGGAGCTCTGAAGAAATCAAGATTTTCAAGGTCCTTGTTTAAATAACCTTCTGTAGTTAAATCTAATTGTTCCATGTGAAATCAAGGAAAAGTCAAATGTTTGACTGGGGGTAATTCTAAACTGTCTTCTGAAAGCCTTCTGAAAGTCTTCAAATTCAGATGATGCCTCAAGTGATCTGATCTTGAATTATCTGGAAACACTCGGTAGCAAAAACGTTTCAGTGGATCAAAGGCAGAGCTCCACACTACACTCATGGAATTGTTTAGTTTGGAAAAGACCTCTGAGATCGAGTCCAGCTGTTAACCCACCACTGCCAAGCCCACCACTAAACCATGTCCCTCAGTGCCACATCTATTCAGCTTTTAAATACCTCCAGGGATGGTGACTCAACTGCTTCCCTGGGCAAGCTGTGCCAATGCTTGACAACCCTTTCCGTGAAGAAATTTTTCCTAATATCCAATCAAAACCTCCCCTGGCACAACTTGGGGCTGGTTTCTCTTTTGCCTGTTTTTCAGGAGAAGAGGCCGACCCCCATTGTGCTGCAGCCTGTACAAAGTGCAAGGTATTCAGAGTCACTGATTGCCTTCCTGCTTGGAAAACCAGAGGAAACAAATCTCAGGGCTCTGTTGCTTTTCATTGTGGTTATCAGTGGTTATCAATTTGTAGGATACCCTACAAATTATGTTTCCTCAAAATACCAGTTGATTCCTCAACCTGGTTGACCCTCCTTTCGTTGTGTTTATCAACACTGTTGCAGCACAAAGATGACTCAGCTACTTAATTGTTTAGATGCTCTGGTTCTTCCTCAGTTTGCCATGCTGGACACGTACATTTGAAGTATAAAGGTATAAAGGATGTGGGATGAGACAATGGTGAAAAAGGTAGTGGTGTAAACAGATGATACAGGTTCTCAAAGTGCAGGTTTTGGATTATCAAGCACAATGTACCAGTCAAGATGAAGACAGGACAAGCAAAAAATAGCTTGAGGCTTGGGGGCTCCTGCAAAAGGGAAGTTACATGGAATTTCTTATGGGACTTCTTACATGAATTAGAGAACTTGAAACTAGAACACGAGGAGGAAATGTATACCAGTTTGATTTGGATGAAATCATCAAGAGTTTGTGAATAATGGCCAAAGCTTATGAGGCATAAGACTAAGTGAATGATTTTTGAAGGGCTTTTAAGGAATGAAAGATCCTAATGTGTGACTAGTTCTGGTTCTTCTGTATAAAACAGATATCACTTGAAGAAATCACAATTCCCTGATAGATTATCCTTTAAACAGCAAATTTTTCATTCAACATGCTTTTTTAATATTGCACTGAAGTCTTAAAGATTGAGGGGGTGAGTATTTCTGGGATGGTTGTCAGTGTTCTTCGGTAATTTAAATTACAGGAACCAGAGGAGCATGCATATCAAATCTTAGCTGGTTACTTTTTGTATTTTGTGGAGTATTGAGTTAAATTAATTTTAATTTGGGGAAAAGAGAGAATACATAAGTGGTCTTCAGTGTGTGGGTGTGAACATGTTCAAGTGTAATACGAAATTAGGATATGAAAGTGTCTCTTGACAACATTGTCTCCGGAGTTAGTGGGATACATCTGTCTAGCTTCAACAACTTGTCAGATTGTATTGCCAAAACTTCATTCAATATGTATGACCTCCTTTAAAGGTACTCGTGCTGTATGCAAAAGAGCTGGGATGCATAATATGTAGGAAAACTCTTATTAAATCTGTCCCACAAACTGTCAAAACAATCAAGCACTTGACATTAATGCAGTAAAGTGTATTTTGCTTTAAGGCTTGTTATTCCATCAATAACAAATTTTTGGTGTTTGAAATCTGTTTCAAAATTAGCATTTTTTTTTTAATTAGAACTGGAAGTTTCTGCTTTGCAAGGTACATATAAACAAGCACCGTGTTTCTTAGTTTGCTAAAGTACCACCTTCTGCACTGCTTTCTTGGAAATGGCTGTTTCCAATAGGTGCTTGCTTCATTTGGTGAATAAGTGCTGGCTTTACTTTTTTTGTCACGTTTTGAGAAGAAAGTTGTCAAGATTCTTTATAAACCTTCTGTGGTTGCTAAACCGAAGTCTAAAAGTGGTTCAAATGTAAGGTAATTCAAGGTTTTCTGAACAGTAAGGCAGGGACGAATAAGTTGTCGGAATGCTTCAAAATCATGTTCCTTATACAGAGTGTATCAAGGAGTCTTAGGACACCTAAACCATTTCTCTGCTTGTCCTTCCTCACTTGCACGCTTTTATCCCCAAGTGTGGGGGTAGGATAGAGGATGAGATAAAATGACAGTTGCAGAACTGTTGGGTTGCTGTGCAGACACCTCTACAGCAGATAAATACAGTGTACTGCTCTGTCTCCTGAAGGATGATCTGAAATTAAGTTGCCTTAAAATGTAGCTCACTCGTTGTCCAAGCTGCATGGGTGTGCTGGTGGGGTGCTGGGGAGGGAACAATCCAGCTTCTTTTGGCAAGTGCTTCCTCAGGTACTGGAGCTGGACTGGCTGGAAGACACTTGACTTGTGAAAGAGAGTCAAACTGGAAAAATGAGTTTAATGTCAGGTCACAAATGTCATCCTCAGTTATACCCCTGGGCTGACTTCAGGTGCTCGGGGGAGGGTGGGAGTGAGATGGGGTGGTGATTTTTTTTTCAA